TAATAATATTTTAATTTACATTTAATTATACACATATGTAGTATATATACTCGTATATATTATATGAAGAATACATTATGTACGAGTATGTATGTGGACGCTGATGTATGTAAACTTTCCTCTTTGCCTGTCGCATATTTTGCTCGCGCTGAGTTGTAGCGCTCAATTTATGCAGTCATTTGCTCTTAGTGGTTGTTGTTGTTGTTGTTGTTGATTTCTTCATTTTATGCGCTATTCGCGAAAAACACTAGCGAGCTTATTCATTTGAATATATTCTACCTCATGCTTTTTCTTTTTTTATTTCTTCTCTTTCAATCATCTTTTACTTTCTGGAATGTAAAACTCTGAAAAAAATATTTGTTGTATTTACTCACTTCTCTTTTGTGGTTTACTTGTGTACATACATACACATATGTAGGTGCATATGTGTGTTTGTGCCTTGATTGTTTTTTTTCTTTTGAATTGACATTGCTTTTACTAAAAGAATTTTATGCAGTCTAGCCGCAGTTGAAATGTTTGAAATATTTTTATGGGCCACTAAATGACAACAATCTGTATTCATAGATATACGTGTATGTAAGTATGGGCTCTCAGTATCAAGTTCAAATACCAACCTGTTTTTAAATGAACACATGCATTTTACGACAAAAGAAAACTCAGAAGAAAATCCCGCGGAATGCTTTTGTCAATGTTTTTGGAACATCTACAACAGATTTCAATTTTCAAAGTTAATATCAACTCAATTTACTAAGGCTAATACTTCGTCGAGCCTATAGAAAAATCACAGACAAATCTAAATTTATTTTAGTAAAGATATTCTTAGGGAAAATTGTTGAAAAAAATTGCCCGACTTTTCGAAACTTAAAAAATGTGTGCAATATCATATATTGCAAACCGATTACTTTAAATACCCGGTACTTAAAGTGAATTAAAAAAAAAAAATTATAAATACACAAAAACGAGCAAAGAGCATGGGTATTATTATGATAAACCGGTTACTCGAACCGGTTACTCGAACCGGTTATGAAAAACGGATCGTTGAACCATCAGGATAAGTAAAATAGAAAGTTGCGAAAGTTTTCGAAACTTAAAAATTTTAATAGAATTTTGAAAATGGGTTTGGAAATGATAGATTGCTAACCGATTACTTTAAATAGGATACCGGGTACTCAAAGTAAGTTAAAAAAAATTATAATCAGGAATATTATAAAAGAATGTTGCCAAAGTTTCAAAACTTCAAATTTTTAATAGAATTTGGAAAATGGGTTTGGAAATGATAGATTGAAAGCCGATTATTTTAAATAGGATACGAGGTACTTAAATAAAGATAAAAAAATTATAAATGCACAACAACGAGCAAAAGAAGTCGGTATTATTAAAGTGAAACCGAATATGATAAACCGGTTACTCCAACCAGTTATCGACAACCGATCCTTGAGTCGTCAAAAATAGTATGAAAAAATGTTGCCAGAGTTTTCCAAACTTATAGTTTTTAATAGAATATTCTATAAAAAATGGGTTTGGAAATGATAAATTGCAAACCGATTACTTGAAAAAGGATACCAGATACTGAAATAAGTTAAAAAAAAATTATAAATGCACAAAAACGAGTAAAGAAAATCGGTATTATTATAGTTAAACCGAATATGATAAACCGGTTACTGGAAACCGGTTATGGAAAACCGATTTTTGTGTCATCAGGAATAACATGAAACAAAGTTTCCAGTTCTATTAAAAACTATACAAAAATTAGGTTGGAAATGATAGATCGCAAACCGACTACTTGGAAAAAGGTACCGGGTACTAATATAAGTTAAAAGAAATTAAATTATGAATACGCAAAAACGAATAAAAAAATCTGCATAAAAAAATAGAACTGAATACATAAAACCGGTTACTCGAAATAGTTTCAGAAAACCCGGTTACTTTAAAAAATTTACCAATTACATAAATTTAATAATTAGAAATTTAAAAATCGCATAAAACTTACGAAGACCGAAATCCGAAAGTACTTAAAATATGTTACCGGTCATGTTTGAATAGCTCTGCCAATACTCAACGGACCCATTGTCATAGTCGGGTAATTAAACGTCTATTTAATTTTCTCTGCCTGCTGGAAGTCTCAGTGCCTTCAGGAATATAAGTTAAGTAGAAAACTGTTTCATCACTAAGTCCGATTTTGACATGATGTTTCATCATACAATCTTTGTTTCTCGTCGAGGCGTGGCCGCAACCGGCGATATGTTGAAAACTTCGGTTTGATTCTTAGTATCACACGCAAATGTTATTGTAGTTTTTGTTGTAGCGGCTAAACAATCCCAGGTAAGATTAGTCAAAGTTATCGAAAAAACTAACGAGATGTCCAGGAAACGAACCGTTACGACGGATCCGGACCAGTAGGAAAGGTTGTTTAGATGAGTAGGCAGTGGGAAGAGGCATGCAAAGAGATGGTTAGTGTCGTTGATGTAGAACATACGTTGGGTATGTTGTGATCTAAACTGGATAAGCAGGAACTCAGTCTAGATTTTAATGGTGCCAATATTTCGAGTCTGCTGAGGCAGCCACCAGCGTGACGTCAGTTAGACTGATGATAGTACTGAAAGCATTCTTGGTAAACTCCATGATAACGGTTCAGTTTGCTTTGTTATAGTTAAGAAACGATCGGTGGTCCACAGACAAACGTCCTGTTGATATCCACCGAACATCTGCGCTGACGAAAGTGTTAGTTTTACGCCAACATCGTTGGACAAAGTTTTTATGTGCGATGATTTCATAGCAAACAAAAATGAATACTAATATATATGAATATATGAACTGATAAAATTTGAAGAATAAAACAACAAAAACACTTCTCTTAAAGCCTATATTTATTCACTTTTTTGCCAAAATGAATAAAAAAAAATTGATTAAAAATTAATAAAATTTTATCTAAATATTTTTTATTATTAAAAAAAATATATTTTAATAATATATTTAAAAAATGTAAATCCATACTTATGTAGCTATAGTATAACAAATGTACATATATGTAGGCCCATGTAATTAGCAACGCCTGAGTCCTACCCTGGAAAGCAGAGTTCATATTCTAAAGTGATTTAGTGAGGCAACATAAATGAAATGAAGCAATAAACATTGAAGAAAAATATTTTCTAAAAAAAAGTGCTAAAGAATATCCTTTAAAACAACGACGAAAAAGTGTAAAATAGTTAATGCCTGAAAGGTGGGGCCAGCGAGGCGAAGGAAATTTTATATACAATAAAAATCTGCGGTGAAAAAAAAATCAAGAAATCACGAAAAAGGAACACGAAAGCTACACAACGGTGCTTAAAAGAGATATATGTATGTAGTATAACCGTATAAAGCTTGACACACCGGTCAGCACAAGTGAACGTATATATGTATCATACATATTACATATGTATATGAGCATATGTTTCAGTATATATTTCGGTAAATGAAAACTGTCAAAGTGCATGTTTTTTTTTACTCAAACCAATGATACATTTTTATTTTTAATACACACTTAAACGTATATTTATATATATATATATATATATATATATATATATATACATACGTACATATGTATGTGTAAAGCTTAAATGCGGCTGTTGTTGTCAAGTGTCCTTTAAACGAAAGGACATAACAATATCAACGACGTCAGTCAGTGAGACAACTCGTTATAAAATGCATACATACATACACGTACAAATATATATACTTGTATGTGCATATAATTAAGCTACATACATATTTATAGGACAAAATAAAGCAAAAAAAAAGATAGAAAACAAAAAAATTGCAGAAAAATAATAAAAAATAAAAATATGCATAAAAGAAAATAAAGAGAAAAATTGTAAAAAAAAGAAATTGTGCTTGTGTGTGTACAGTTCATTTTGTGTGTATGTATATGTGCGCGTGCGTGCCGCAAATAGCTGCAGGCAAATTAAGCCAACTAACAATACAACGGCAGTGGCAACTTAAACAGAAACAACAACAACAACAATATATGTATATATTTATATGTAAATAGTGTGTCAAACACAACACCAACAACAATAGTAGGCACAAAAAGTAAACAGTAGAACAACAATTGTTTAATAGTATTTATAATATCAGACAGCAACAACAAAAATAGTAATAAAATATCCTAATAACAACAATAAGAAACAATTGAAATATAATAAAAACGACAAAGGCGTATGGTAAAGGTGAATTGTGTGTATGTGTATGTCAAAACATATGTACATATGTATATATGTAGTTGAGTCGCTGCAGGACATTAAGCACTTACACGCTCAACTCTAGTGTCCAACTAACCTCGCTCAAAAAAGAAACAAAAAAACAAAAATTCAACACAGCTGCGACCTCTACGGCAACGTCAACGTCCACGTCAGCGGCAGTGACTCAATGTTGACTTTTCACTTTTCATTTTTCACTCTCTCCGCGTGTGTATGCCGGATCTTCTACTTAAATTTAACTGCATAAAAATACAACACATACATACATTAGCACACATACACACACACACGCACACGTAAATTGTTGTGCACCTCATAGTTTCATCTGCGCTGGAAATTAACTTGCTTGACTGGAAATACAAGCGCGTGTCAACTGCCAAGTACATAACTGTAAAGGAAAATGTACAACATATAAGAAAGGCAAAGCAGCTGGTGAAATTTCTTAACGGTTAAAATAACTATAGTCATACAAAAACAACAATAGCAACATCCACAACAACAGCAGTTACAGGTATGTGTAATAATATTTTAATTTACATTTAATTATACACATATGTAGTATATATACTCGTATATATTATATGAAGAATACATTATGTACGAGTATGTATGTATGTATGTATGTATGTATGTATGTAGTTAATCACTGTGTTTGTTCAAGGACAGCGAAATTGCTCTGTTTTTTTCTTCTTCTTCTTCTTGTTATTGTTTTTAATATTTAAATCATTAAAAATCTGCATAATTATTTTAATTGGCTCAATTAGTAGAGCGTAAAGCGTGAGTAAATTGCATGTCGGCAATTTGGAGGTTTACTTTTTAACTGTGCTCTCTTCTTGCTTGAGATTGCTCTGCAGAAGACAGAAACCAATGCCCTCGTATTAAATTAAATTATAAATATATAATAAAATTTCTTTAAATGTAAGCCTTTTAAGCAAATTGCGGTAAGTTGAACAGGAAAACTTTTTTTTTTTTGTAATTATTCAAAATCGTTGTTCTTTTTCATCTTCTCTACACAGTCGCCATTGATTTCAAAGCATTTCGAAAGCCTCTAGATTCACTGCTGAGAACAGTCTTCAAAATCTTACTTTTTAAGCTTTTCAAGTTCAGAAATAATTATCTCCTCGTTGCTATTAAAGACCTTGTCTTTTAAAATTTTTTATTAATTTTTGGAAATAGCCAGCAGTGACAAGGTTATATATTCGATCCCAGAGATCACAGTAAAATTACTCGTTATTTCAGCAAAGTGGAATGGCGCGCTGTCATGTTGTAAAAAGTAATACCACAAACCCTCTTTTTTCTTGTTGTTTTCCCATAAATTTTTGAAAACTTTTGGTAAGCCCTCTTCGGTGTTCTATTTTGCTTCTTGCCGTCCAACCCTCTTCCAGTGGAGTTGAAGCTACGATTTTAGAGCGGGTGAAGTATACTGATATCTTTACTTTTGCTGCTGATTTTTTTGCTTAGATTTTACTAGATTTCCTTCAGTTCAGCTACACACAATGAACTGTGGTCACCAGTAACGACTTTACTAAGTTTCTAGACTGACCATTTTTCAATTTGTTTAGGAACAATTTTACAAACAGCTCTAAAGCCTCCTTAGAACTCGTGTTATCCATCCAGCTGATTTCTTCGTGTATCCCTGATTATTACATAATATACACGATACAGCCATGTTAATCAAGCCCAATTCTTTAGCAATCATTTCTTGTGTCAATCGTGAGTCTTCATAAATTTTGGGCTTCACCAGAACTACAGTTACGTCATCAGTGGAAGATTTTGGTCAACCTTCTCGGGGCTCGGGCTCCACGGAATAATTTCCGATCTAGAATCATCGGAACCACTTATATATAGTCTTTAAAGACGGTGCAATCGTGCCATATACAACTTGGCGTTGACTGAATATATCAATTGGCTGTAAATTACGCCGAACCCCGAAGAGAATTACATGGCGAATTTCCGTCTGCTTTGGAGGGGGAATTTCGTCCGACCTATCCTCAGGTAACTTTCGCTTTCTCTTACATATGATCTAGTGCTTCACATGTAAGGCCAAGGTCAAAACATTTGTTTTTAATAAAAAAGGAAATTCATGAAAAAATTCTTTTAAATGAATTTTATTTACATTTATTTTCAGAACCACGAAACCATCAACACTGCTTAAATGTGTTCCAAATTATTTTATCCAATTAAAAAATTAATAACTATTAAGTGCTCATAAATTCAAATTTATAATTAATAATTTAATAAATATGCATAAAATTTCTGAATTTTGTCATCCCATGTCTGAGTATAAATATAAGTTTGTGAAACTTTGCTACGTAATGAATTTATCTATGTCATACTACATATATATATATATATATATATAGTGTGTGTGTGTGTGTTAAAAAGCCAAAAACAATATTCCAAAAATAAAAAATAAAATAAATGCGAAATAAAAGTTGGCAATTTACTTGCCTGCTTAATGTCTGTTGGTAGCCAAAACCGTATAATACTAGCGTATGTATGTATGTGTGTGTATCACTGTGCACTACAAAGATAAAACAAAATAGAATAAAATAAATAAGAAAAGAAAATGCGCGACTAATCTTTTTAATGCTTACGCTTATCAGCTGTTTGAGTGAATTTATGTTGTTACCAGAATCCGAAATTTGTATGGATAAACTTAAGTGGTTGCCGACTACATGTGTATGCATGCATGCATACATACATAAATGAAATAAAACGAAAAAAAATAAAATAAAAAATAAAACCATTGAACTTTTCTTGCCAAAAATATATATAGATCGAGCCGAGTAAACTTCAAGTAAACGTCGATACATAAAAATCATCTGCTCAAGTGGCTTCTAAACAAAGCCAAAAAATGTGTACACACACATACACACACACGTACGCAGATATAAATGTATGCATGTATATATTTTCACACATATAATAATTGCTCTGTTGTCATGCTGTTAAGATTTATTTGTCGCTATTTCACTGCTGCCTTTTCTAACGCGCGTCCATATGTCTGCCGATATGTCTGTCCATGCGTTTGGCCTTCAGTCGCGACTGTCGCATTGTTTTTCTTTGCTTTGGATTTTATTTTCTTATTTTTTCGTCTATTTAGAATTTTTTATCATTTTTTCTTTAATTTTTGGCGCTGTGTATTTTTTCCTCTCTCTCTCTCTCTCTGCATTTCGTCTGCGTTTTTTTCACTTATAAATAGCACTGGCATTTTGTTTTTTTATTTTTTTTCTGTGTGCCCTTTGTTGCTTCTTTCTTTCTCTTCTTTTGTAAAATATTTGTAAATTAATTTTTCTTTAATAAAAAAATATTTAAGGTAAAATTAAAAGAAATTAGCTTACCACGCAGCCGTTGTGCTGCGTTAAATTATGTTTTTTTTAATACTCCAGAAGTTTGAGAGTCTCTCTGAGATTCAGCTTAGCGTAAAAGTTTCTTCCACTCACTCTATCAGTCATTTTTGATCCGTTGTGTAGAGGTTGCAACTTCCCCTGCCGGTCGTATCTTTCTGCGCCACAAGCCATCTTTTGTAGTGTGGCTAGCATTTTTTTCCCCCAGATGAAGCATGAGAAGTGTGGTCTATTTTGCCACTTTAGAGAATGACAGTTTCCATCTGGGCTGCTTTCAGCAAATTTACGAGTGTATCGTTGGAGTCATTGTTGAATGCTAGAGCATCTAGCATTTATTCGTTCACCTTCGGTAGGAATTAGATTAGACTTGATTGTGTATTTACTTGCGAATAGAGTAAACTTTCTTTGCCAGCCTTCAATATGAAGACAAAAAAATTTTATCGCCTGCAAATGTGGTGTCAGCTCTGTTGAAAGTTTTTCAATTATAGGTGAACGTTTCAAAACTATCGATTGCCCTTAGTATTTTGGTTTTACTTATGATAACCCAAGGAATGTTCTCCAAACCAACTCCAAAAGGTTGTGAAAATTCTTCCAGTGAGCCCTCAATAAATCTAGCCCAATCTGCACAGTATTAATAATTTTATATGCCAAGCGACCTCCATTGTTTTCTCTACCTCAGGATTCTGCTAAGCGAGTAATATGCTTCTCTAGCGTGTAGATATAATAAACGGTCAGGCTGCGCTTTTTGAGGGTAAAGTTAACACACGCTATGCTCCATGTCATCTGCTCACATCTGGCATATAAGTTTATTTCTTCGTTTGTCTTGCTTATCCGGTTATCATTCGCCTTCCCTTCTCGGAGTTTTTGACTTTCAGCACATTCCAGTTCTTTGGTTTTACCTTGCGTGGTTTTTGTATATTCGGTTTCGATATGGTCTGTATTCTGACTAAAGTCCCTTTCTATTGCGCTGTCCTCACACTGACGTTAAAGCAACTTAATTTTGATCTCATTCAGCTGATATACAAAATGGCTTCGGCGATCTGAAATCTCTATCCTGCTGCGTTCCTTTGAGATCTTCCCCTTTCGACTGTTGCGGTCAACAGATGCCAACGAAACAAGCTGTCAGGAAGAGCAGAAGCAATACAGAAGTATATTGACCTAAGATTCGCTCTAGGTACTAACCTAGATGTCAAGCTAACACTGTATCAGCGACGACCTCCATTTTCCAGACATACACCGATACTTTCCACTGAATTATATATTTTTCTCAGTGAAGTAATGAAAAATCTAAAATTTTATTCTACACTATTTAACTCAAAGCTCAATCCTTTTTTTTCTTTTTTGTGTTTTTTTTTAGTAAAGAGATATACTCTACCTCCAGCGAATTGCGCCACGTGAATTATGAATCCTTTAAGCCTTTGACCCGATGAAATGCTCAATTTCTATTTTGGCAATTTTGAAACTGTCATCAACATGGCTGCAGCTATGCACACAAGCATACATACCTGGGTGCAGGTTGGTGCTTTGTAGTTGCAGCCCAAATGTGGGCAACTAATAAAAGCGCCACCGCACACATATGACTGCAAGCTACTGATATTCGCCAAATGCAGCAGCTATTGCGCTTACGGTGATGCCAAAGAAGCGTGAAAGTGAAAATTGTTGAAAAGACTTTCATTCATTTATTTTTGCCGCTTTTCCACCACCCGCTCTCTTTGGTATATTTCACCGAGCCGACATAGCGACCCAGCTGTAAGCATAATTTTAGGCGCTTGAGCATATGAACTGCAAATTGCCTAGGTTGGCGAGCAGGTCAAGTTATATATATACATATAAACAAAGGTGCAACAAAAAGCTGACATACAACACCGCCACCACAAGTGCTGAGAGTAGTCAGCAACAGTCGGGCGGGGGTTTTGCCTGAAGTGCAAATATTAGCAGAAGCAACGGCTGAATCGCCGTCGTCGTCGTCGTCGTCGTCAACGTCGCTATCGCAGCGGCATAACCTGCTTGTTATGATGTGAAAAATGCGATGCGCCGACTTATTGCGCTTTAGGGGGTTATTGTTTGTGCAGAGAAATGTGCGCTGTATTACGCCTAAAAGTATGCCAAGGGGCAAATGAAAACAAACGAGTAGCAAACAGTGCAAATAAACAAACAAACA